CTTATTTTCAGGCTTATGACAGTGCTGTTCTTAGCCATGGTGACGATCACCCCATTACTCTGGAGTTGTCATCGTATATATCTGGATAAACATTGTCTGTATTCCAGCAGATCAAGTTCCTGTTTTTATATACATGTTGTTAGAAATGCTTTTATACGTGAAATTGAGATAATTGTTCTAAATTTTACCTCCGTTTGATACATTTCACTTGAAGTTTAGAGGAGTTTTACTGCAGAGAACTGTCAGAAAAAAATTTTCTTTTCATCTAAATCTCCATATTGTTCTCCAATAAATCTTCCCAGGTACAATGTTCAGGGAAAACGTTATCTTAGCATTCACATAGCTACTTCCTTGCGCGTCACTACAGTCAGCGTAACGGTTACGGCAGCATTTTGATGAAGTGAGATGCATAAGTGGTAGTCAGTGTGTATGGGTCTATGCGTATTTGACATCCGTACATTCAGATAAGCTTCACTTTGAAGATATATACTGTACATATGTGAAGGCTAAACTCATTCTTTATTGACACCATGTGTGCGCCGAACATGGCTATCATGAGCAGCATGAGATGCAAAGGGTTTTCCGCAGAATGCGCACTGAAATAAGCAGCTGATCGATTTTATGAATAAAAGCTGCTATCCTCACCTTAAAAGGTTTTTCACCGCTGTGCTGACGTATATGAGTGCGAAGTATTGAAGATGCTGTAAAAGCTTTTGGACAAAATGAACACTTGTATGGTCGCTCTCCAGAGTGGACACGTAGATGCTGTAAAACAAACTGCCACCTTTTTGATCTTGGTATAAGTCCTAAGTCCAAGAATATCGAGCTATTAGCTTTCGCTACAAATTTCCACCAACTGTAGTTAAACTACAAAAGTATAACTCAAAGATTTCATTATCGTTTTCGCATCAACTCGTTCCTCTATCTTTCCTTCTCCTAGTCATTTGGTGGAACATAAAACATTATGACACTCTGAGACTTTTAGGATGAATTTATTTACTATTATCATTACTATTTTAAGATTTGATATTTATAACAATTCGATTATTACTTATATCAACACTCTATTTTCAGTTTACTATAGTGCTATCTAAAATGTGATATCCAGAATTTTCATATACGTTTGTTAGGGTAGTCTATCTCTACTATGATTGCTAATCTACATTAACATCTACCTAAGACCTGCTTCTAACTGACCACACTTTCCTCAAATACGACCACGTTCGGTTTGATTCTTCCAAAATAATTGCTATATAGAGCGACTGAAATATTAGTCATTCAATCAGAGTGTTCCCAAAGATTTTGCGCTATCACTGAAAAGTACTAAATGGTGTTTTTTAAATTAGACTTGAGCTGTAGATTCTAAAACTGTCATTAAGCTTGCTGTGATCATTTTGACTGAGTAGAATCACTTTTATGGAAATATTTTTTAAAGAAAAACCACAGGGTTTTCAATGAAGAAGAAAAAATTATACATGCTGTTGCAAATTTCACCATATTCTTACACAACAACGCATTAACGTCACTATGCTCGGTTCTCTGAATATATCGCACCTTGCACCCTAGGGCTTCATGCAAGCTAATGTTTATTTTTTATAGTTTCTTACATTATTCACCAATAATAGAGTAGAACAAATTGTTCAAGAAAATTTTCCTCCTCACATTTAAAGGACGAAGGGGAATGTTGCTTCATCTCAATTTATCTGCTTAGATGTAGTTGCAACTTGCCAAATGTATCCGAAATAAATTGTG